GCATGAACTAAGTTTTCACGTTACATTTTTTTCTTTATTTTTAAATTCAGATTTACATTGAATGTTCAGCATTCAGAATAATAGTATCATTGTGATATTCACATCCTGATTTGCAATTGGTCCTGTCTACATCTACCTTTTTTCTATGAAATAAAGACACCAGCGTTGCATTTTGCATTGCATTGGATGCATGTTGTACCATTGTAACAGCAAACTGAGTTGAATACAGCATTTCATTTACACAGAACTAAAGCTTAACATCTAAAACTTGCTTAAAACTTTAAAACTATTGTTTTGTTGCCTTGCACTTATACTGCTGTTTTCTTATCTATGAAAATGCAAGTGCAGCTTTACTATATTGCTTAGGTGGTCAAATGATCAGTTGCCCCCTTCTGTTCTACAAATGCCTTTCATTCGCATCAGACCCATCCATTTCCCTCACATACCCTCTGTGTACCGTCATCAGGACCCAGTTGCCCGGATCAGAGCCTCCCAGTGGGGGCAGCGGACAAAACAGTCATTGAGCAAACTGGTGTTCACAGCCAGAATGTCACCTTGAGAGCTGCAAGCATGAGTTCTGCTTTCATACTGTACTAGTATCCCGGCCTAAATGGAGATATCAGATATCTGAGATCTATTAATCTATTTGGATTCATTTGAAAACCTAATTCAAGTGTTCAATGTGAAAAAAATTAAGAAAATAAATAAAATAAAAGATGTAATTTTGTGATAAAGAATGATATGTAGCTACTTTATTCAACATGCATTAAAAAAAAAGAGGGAGAGAGAGAAATTATATGTTTTCTTTAGTCTCCAGTGTTGCATAGCCCATCAAAATTATTTTGATGAAATCAAATAAAAAAAGCATCTGGCATTAAAAAAAAAAAAGAAGTAAATTTGTAAAATTGTCTCTAAAGTCACCTTGAATAAAATGCCTACAAAGCCTGAAAGTCCAGGGATGAATATTTGAATATGTGCTTCCCTTGCACTGTGATGCTCTTTTTTGTTGATTCTAATATTTGTTTACATTTACTCTTTTGAATTTTTGTAAATAATACAAATTGTTAACTTTATAGCTATAAAATGGCTGCCTAAGTTTAAGTGGCCTGCAGATTGGCTGCAATTTTAAGCTTTTAAGCAATTTTGAGTTTCAAAAATGCTGTACTATTATTATTAAGAGGGTGCATGGAATAATTTTTGCTTTTACACAGGACCACTGAAATTATCGAAATCTTTAAAATTATTGAAAAATTATCGAAATTGAGATGTATACATCATCTGAAAGCTGAATAAATGAGATGTATGTTTGTTATGATAGGACAATATTTGGCCTAGATACAACTATGTGAAAATCTGGAATCTGAGGGTGCAAAAACATCCAAATGAAGTTCTTAGCAATGCATATTACTAATCAAAAAATAAGTTTTAATATATTTACAGTAGGAAATTTACAAAATATCTTCATGGAACATAATATTTGGCCTAGATACAACTATTTGAAAATCTGGAATCTGAGTGTGCAAAAACATCCAAATTAAGTTCTTAGCAATGCATATTACTAATCAAAAAATAAGTTTTAATATATTTACAGTAGGAAATTTACAAAATATCTTCATGGAACATGATCTTTACTTAATATCCTAATGATTTTTGGCATAAAAGAAAAATCAATAATTTTGACCCATACAATGTATTTTTGGCTATTGCTAAAAATATACCCAAGCGACTTAAAACTGGTTTTGTGGTCCAGGGTCACATATATGTAATTATTATGTTATTTATTTTACGCAAAATGTATACAAATAAAGTTGCTTGTAGGACAACTAAGCTTTATTCTCTCAAATGTGCATCTTTACCACAATGAGTCCATGAAACTTGTCTCTGATTACTGTGAAGGTATATAAAATGGAAATCCATTAGAAAATTCCAATAAAATAAAATGGAAGTGGGGGTGTTTTTTTTTTTTTTTTTGATATCTAGGAACAATTGTTGTTTCATATAGTATCATACTTAACGTTTTAACCTCAAACAATTGCCTCAGCAACCTCTGCCAGTTCGATAAACTTTAATAATATGATTGGCTGGAGGAAGCCGCATAAATTGATCTCAAGATCTTGACAGTGCCGTAATGAAATTCCGATGTATGCACAATCAAATAATAAATCCATACAGCACAAATCCACCTAGAGATATGAATCTTTTTTTTAATTCACTCCCGTTATCAATGCCACCTAAGATACACAGCCATTATGAAATAATGCAATTACAGAAGTCACAGAAGATTACTGAGCGGCGGCATCCTCCATTACCCAAAGGTAACCTTCAGCTGCGCGGGAAAACAATAAATCAAGGGCTCGTGTTTATCTGTGCTGAGGGGGGCTCACGCTAATTCACTTTCTGCCAGCGGTCAGTTACGTTGACACAAATTCTGATGAGATGCTTTAGCATTCCTATAAATATTCATATTCTGAAGATAATAAATCTATCTGTGTGAAAGAGGAAAAGCAACTTTAGAACACACACACACACACACACACACACTGTATATTGTGAAATAATTAAGGTTTTTATATTCAGAAAAAAAAGAAATATATGTTATACATAGACTTCTGTATACATGTGGAGGCTATACTAATATGAAAACATAAACATTGTTTCATAACTGACTTGGTATATACTTATGAAGACTTGCCCTGTTCTTTTGACCTTTTCCAAACCCACAGCTTGGTTTCTTAAATTACTTTTGGAATAAAAACAAAATGCTGAATTGACATTTGCAACTGATAGAAATTCTAGCTGAACTATTGTCATGTGAAACCCTGCTGTTTTTGCTGACATTTACAAGGTTGGGTTGCCTGAACGGATGAGAATAATGTTTCAAATAAGGATTTGCCATCAGCATAAAGTCAATTTTAATAATAGATTAAACAGAAGTTGTATTATGATATGTGCACTGGTAATTTAGGATAGTTAACCCAATATTGAAAATTCTGTCATCATTTAATCACCCTCATGTTGTTCCAAACCTGTAGGGGTTAATTCAGGATGATTAAGACATTTTTCTCCAGTCATTTCAATAGCAATCAATCAACCTGAATTCACCCCATGACTTTCTTATCTCCTACATTGACAGAAAAATTGATGCATTGACGCAATACACTAATGAGGAAAAGACTTTCAAATTTATGCAATTTTTGCATCTGTCTAATAGGGAACATTCTCAGAACTTTAGCTGACGTTCTGGCAAGATTCTCTCAAAGCTATGAACAAAACTCTCTTCCAGTAATAGAACGATGTTAGTAGAACATGCATTCAAAGCAATCTGGTCTTTAATACCATCCTTAAAACGTTAACACAACATTTTTTATTTATACATTGTTTATTGAAATGTTTTAGATGGATGGTTGGATTTTTTTGTTACATTTAAAAAACTGGATGTAAATGCAAGTCAAGTTTATTTTCTGAACTTTAACCTGCTATATATATATATGTGTGTACAGTATGTGTGTGAATTATCCTGCTCATATCCATGTCACGGTCCTCTTTAATGGATTCATCTGTATTCTGCTTTGCATGAAATTCCATTAAGAGCCATTCTGGATGGATTTGGCTTATAAAGTCTGCCGCCTCGGCTAGTTTTGTGCCGCCATTTCGTCTCCTCTGTGAAGTAATACGTGAATTAGATTTACAGGAAAACTTCTGACTGCTGTCAGCTGCTGGATTTGGAAATCTTTCTTGGTAAATGAAAATATTTGGGACAGTATGTAGAGTTTTGTTGCTTTTGGTCTGACTCGATATGCTCATGGTAAGGATTAGCTGTGGTAATACTTCAGCAAAGTCAAATTATGTTGCTTTTGATCTGACTTGAAATGCCTTCAGTTCAGTTCTTTTGCTGATCTCAGAGTTTCAGTTTGCCTCTCAACTTCACTTTTATCCCTGTGAGTGTAAATGCACATTGCTTTGGATGTGTGAGTTTGTGTGAAATCATTTGTCAATGGTCATTATGGTGAATTGGGATTAATTACTTAAATTAATATTTGTGATTGATTAGTGAAGCTTGCTAATAGTTTGTTTCAAACCCCTAAACCTAAATATTATTAACTCGTATCATTCAAATATGAATGATACACCTTGTGAAGGCCAATATAAGCATGTTTTATGTGTCTGAAATACACTGAAATATTTTCACACATTTTGCATACTTAGACAAAATTAAAGCTTGATTGGAAATGAAAAAAGTTATATTTATATTTCTTATATTTATATTTATCTTATCTTTCAGAATTGTCAACTTGATAACCAAATACGTTAACTTTTAAAAATGTTATTAGAATTAAAAAAAAATAATAATTAATTAAAATGAAAAATGTATAATTAGCATTTAATAATGAATAAAAAATAATTCACAAATTAATAAATAGTAAAAAAATAAATAAAAATACCCACAAATATTAAATTGGTTTATGATTGGTTCACCCTCGATAAAAATCATCAATATCATTTTATATAACCAAACATCTTAAAAATTTTATTTTTATAATGTGTTTTCATATTTATAGGGTAAAATAGGGTAAGGGTATTATGAAATCCTGATTAATAACCTAGTTTTGGATTTATGTGGATTTACATATGAAGAGATGCAAGTGTTTAATTATATCTCTGACTTATTAGGCATGCAGAAGTCTAATAATCCCTATTGTGGAGTCTGAATTATGAATCCAAAGTGTGTGTAAGGTGTCCTGTTGATCAGCACCAACCGTGAGAGGGTTCTGTCTCAATGTATGAATACTTCATGACTGATAACTGCATCCGAGGGTAATGAATGGAAATCCTGACCATCCCAAAGAAATCATTTTTTATTTCACCACAGGAGTCACTGACATTCCTTCTCTGTTCCTTTCTCCAAATGTATATTTCATTCTCTCACTGTCACTGTGTCCCACACATTTTTTTTTTTTATCTCTGTACTTATACAGCACAGAATGAGGAGAAAGGCTGAAGCAAGATGACCTTAACACTAAGAAACTGGTAAAGAGTTCATCTATATTTCTGCAACACATTCAAACAGTTTCATTACGACATTTATTTTAATTTCAGTTACATAAAGATTCTGGACACAACAGGAAGTGAAGGGGACTTTTAAGTTGGTTTCTAGGCCTTCTTCCACCTGTATTTCTTCCTTGCAGGTGTTGTTTTGGGCCTGTATTCCAGCCTAAATTATACATTTACTCTGTTTTCTCCAAATAGACAAAATAGTTGTGACCTTTCTACTTTCTACAGGTCGTGACCTGAAATTTACAGTCATTATATGTGGAAAAATCATGTATGGATTCAGCTTTTGGACACAAAATGGAGGGTTCTAGAACAAGGGAACAAAAGGATTTGGTAAGATCAATCTTTCCTTTTACTTTTGGCTGTGAAGAGCTTGGTTTTAGAGACTGGACTATTTTGTGTTCACAGGGAGTGGATGGATTTCTTCTGTTGTTGTTAGTTGTTTGTGTAAACCAGCAAAAATATGATTGATTCAGTGATGAACATCTAATAACTTTTTTTTTAATTTAAAAAAGTGTTTCCAAAGCACTGCAATGTGGTTCTAAGTGACTTTGTATGCTGCTAGGGGGTTCTGGGTGTTTGCAAGGCTGTTGAAAATCCCACTGTAGAAGTGGACTGGTGCTTTTTCAAGCACACGGTTAAAAATAACGTTTTTTTTATCGGCATTGATGGTTCCATGAAGAACCTTTAACATGCAACCTTTCCATTAGACAGGTTATTTAAAGTCGAAAGGTTCTTCAGATTATTAAAATGGTCCTTTTAAGAACTGTTCATTGAAAGCTCTTTGGGGAACCAACAATGTTTCTTCTGTGACATTGCTGTGAAAATTCCTTTTTGGAAACTTTATTTTTAAGAGTGCATGTCCACATTGGTATCATAATAACAGCGCAAACTTTCGTAACAATGCCTGAGATTTTAGCAAAGAGTATTTGCCATAGATTTTTTTTTTTCATGAGGGCAAAATTGACATTTGAACACATTCATAACTGCAAAACGTAATTGCACACTTCAACAAGTCATGCAATTTGAGTTATCATTAATGTCTGTAGATGGTAAATTTAATAATATAAAAAAAAAATGAAAGCAAAAGTCAAAGATTAAATTGCAGCTCATCACAAAAACACACTGAAGCTTGGTGGTAAATGGCAATAGTTCTTTTATTTTTTTATCTATATTTTAAAGGTTTATTATTTACAAAGAAACAAAATAAAACAAAAAAATAATGATTTTTTGACAAACACCGTTTGTCTGCATATAGGTGTAAGAAAGTATACATTTACCTTTCTTTATTCAGGATCAAGTAACTAATTGTTCATGTATATTTATTGAATGATTCTTTTCCCCATTTTTGTTATTCTTTTTGTATTTTTTAAACCAAGCATTGGTGTACATGAACAAGCATAATGAAAAAAATATATATATAGCTGAGATTAAAAAGAGCTTGAGGCCTGTTCTAGAATCTTCCATTATTTGCATTATGTCATTGAACATATCAAACAGAATGTTTTCACCTCAATCGTGGAGGCTGCAAACCAACCGTTTTGGTTTTTCCCTTTATTTAAACATCACTCCTCCTTTTTCTTTTGCATTGTTAATTTTCCATCACATAAACACATGTATGATTAAAAACAAATAAAAAACAAACAAACATATGAAGATATGTGCTGGTTTTCTTAAATGCCTCCTCAGAAAGTGTTTTTTTAGTGTATTGTATGAATGCCTCTCCTTCCCATTCCGGAATTCTAACAGTGTTTAAAGCTGAGAGGAAAAAGCACATTAACACGGGAAGGGTTCTCCTTCGAAGGCAAGTACTGTACAGTATCAAAAAATAGCAGATACCTAGAATACGGCTGACCGTCCTATCTGTACACTAGATTCTATACACTATGGCATAGCAGGAGTTAAGCGCTTTTTGATGTGTTTGAGCACAAAGGTCGTCCCGTCGACCAGGAGCAGAGGATGCGATTCTGGATGATGTAGCAACCCCTTTAGTTAACCAACTAATGTATGAGTTTCTGCTTCTAAGTTCCTCTCTCTCTTTAAACAGAAAGTGCAGTTCACAATGAAAGTTTGTTTTGAAATGTTTCACTTTGGCCAGTTTCATTCCACACAACATCAAACCGAACATCAGTAGCTATAAAGTTAAGTTCCACACACATTTAACCAATGATCTATCGTGATTCCGGCCGATACTGATTTGTTTGCGAACAGATATACTTGGTATTTTCACTAGTATGTTAATCGCACACGCCGAGCAAATGTCATCCTTTTGCTCTGATACGTTTGGCCATTCCCATTGCTTTTTGTTCTCGTTGGAAAACATTGAACATACACATATACACTTGTTTACATACACGTGTGCGCGAACGCGCGCTCACACAAGAGTCACACTCATAAAATGAACAGGATGAAACATGGCTATAGTTTAGGCACAAATACTTAAGAATGTCCTTTTCATGAAAATTCAATATTTCTGATATGCACAGAGAACGTCTAAGCAGACAATGAACAAAAAAACATAATCTCACAATACATTTAAACGTCAACACTTTTTAAATAGTTTCTCTTTTAAGTATTCGTGACAATTATGGTCGCTGTATGGGATTTGCACTGGTTACGGTACTGACACAAGTGTTTTTTGTTTTTTGTAGTATTGTCATCTTTTAAACATTGTGCACTTAGACTTTGCACAGGTCAGATGAGTTTTTGCATTGTTCTGCCGACTTTTAGTCGCGATATGGAATGAATAAATTAAAAATAGATGGGGTCACAGCTGCTAGTTACCCCTAGTTAAATCTGTTATACCTCCAATATAAATGACTGACATGCTAAGTCTTAAGCCCCAAACTGGATGAATCAATATATGGGAGATATAAAAACCTCAATGCAAAGCAGCTTCTGTTTTTCTCTCTTTGAACGTCTATATTTGTTCATCTGTCCTTTGTTGGATTCACATAGTTGCACTTGAAAACACACAGAATAGTTCTGCTGGCCACTTTTATAATTGTGTTGTCAACTGTGCCGCCAGTTTATGGATTTTTATGTTTCATAACTTAGACTTAAAGGTTGATGTGTTTTTGTAAAATTATTAGAGCATTAGTAAATAAATACATACATAAATGTGTTAAGTCTTTAAATGCGATAATAAAAGAAAAAGCATAACCAGAACATCTACATCTATGTACTATTATGAAGTTGGAGTAGTGTGTACATCCATTAATACTGATCTATGAGAAAAACACTATTAATATGAAACTATTATAACAAAGCTTTTATCGATGTATGCAGGCAGCCAATGGCTTCCTTGTGTTACATCAGTGCAGGAAATGATCAACTAAATCATTTGATTTCCATTTAGGGATTGTAAAACATAAATGATGATGTAAAGTAGGCTAAATGCATTAAGCTTTACTGATGATGATGATGATGATGATGATGAAGATGCATAATCTCCTTCCCCCCCATTGCAGTGGTGTCGTGCCACTGTAATCACTCATATACCTTTATATTTGACCAGCATGATATTTTTGAATACGGATATTGTCTTTAGTACTACCTACTGCGTAATGCTACTATTTGCATTAAGGTTTTCTTATATCTAATGAATGTTTCTGATGTTTGTTGTCACATATTACCATTTGAATATATAAATAAATAAATAAATATATATATATATTACATATACATATATAGGCATTACCCAGGTGGCTGACAGAGATAAGACATTGCCATGTTTGAGAAATGCACCACACATTACTTTTGTAAATACTAGTTCTACAAAACTATGTACAACACACATATAGGTAATCTTTATATCACAGTCTATTGCATAATGGTGATAATCTTTAGTTTTATAAATATTGTAAATGTACAGTCTTTAAGTGACATTTCATGTCCGTCTCGTTCTTAAATCATTGTAGTCAAATTGGATGGTTTTATTTTCTGTATCTGATTTAAACAGAAAATAAAACCATCCAATTTGACTACACATCCTTTGTAAAAATAAACTAAATTAAAATAAAAAAACAGAAAAAATACATTCCCTTTAATGCACAAATGCTGTCTTGAAACACAACGCAATTACTGCACAACACAAAGTATTGCAGAGATCGAAACTGCACCTTGATTTGTGCTCTGAGCATTTTCTGATAATATATTTTTTTTCCAGCTGCTAAAAGTTTGAGATGTGCTTTTTAAACATTTCGGTAATTCCCAGGTTCGATTTGCGCAAACATTTTCCACAGTGATGCCAAAAGCTGCTGAATGCTGGACTTGTTTTGTCACCTTCTCGTTGAGAACAAAAATTGTAAATAAAACACATTCAAAAGCATTCCAGTAACAAAAACAATAACGAAAAATCCAAACTGTAAGGAAAACATCAACAGAAACTTCAGACAAATTATAGTCACATATGTTAGAGAGGAAGACTTGTGTTTATACTAGAGTTTTTTTTTTTCTCATGGTCAATACCAAATATTCTAGTTGGATTTGCACGTATATGTTTGTATAATATACATTATTAAGTTGAAGGGGAAGTGTGTCTAAAATATAGTATAAGGAAATTCTGTACAGGATAGCTATGAGGTTGTTATTTTTTCTCAGAGGAAGTTGGAGGGAAAAAAATACAAGTCTTTTACCCATTTTTTTAGTCTCTCCGTAAAAATATCTTTTAAAAAAATGAACATGAAAAAAAGTAAAATGGGATCATAAATTCGATGCGAACCGCATTTTGTCTTGTTCCGTCTCTGTACTGCTTAAGACTGCCGACTCTCTCCTGGAGCCCGTGGAATCCCTGTGCTGAGCACTAGAGGGCGCCGTGCGCACCGGCGGTAATGCACCCGATGACATCTGCCGGAAAAGGGCGACCCTCTGTGGAACGTTGGTGCGGATGCCGTTTTGCAGGACGGAGCCCGGGGCCTGGACGCCTGCCACGGATCCAATGGGCGGCTGAATGGAAGCGAGTGATTCGCCTGATATGGGATGTGCCCGGGCAGCCAATGAGGTTTCGTGGGGCAATGACGGCTGCGAGGCAGAGAGGTGGCGTAAGTCCTTGCTCAGGCTACCTGACTGGAGTGCCTGTGCGCTTTTGTGGACATCGCTTCTCTGAGGAGACGCCCCTTGCGATTGCTGCGGCTGTTGTTGCGGCGGTTGTTGTGGTATGGAGGCAGGCGAGGGCTGCTGGGGTAAGGGTTGCTGTACAAGGGACAGTTGGGAGGCCGTCGGCGATCCGTACTGGAATGTTCGGCTGGCCATAGGGGTTTGCACTGGGGGACTGCAAATGGATGTGGTGAACGAACAAGGAGACATGATCGCCCCTGCTGGCTGCTGCAAGGGCGTAGGGGGGTTTGGGGAAGAGGTGCTCAAGTTGCCGTGAGAAACACTCGGCGCCGAAAACGTGACGCCCTGGATGTGGTGAACGAACAAGGAGACATGATCGCCCCTGCTGGCTGCTGCAAGGGCGTAGGGGGGTTTGGGTAAGAGGTGCTCAAGTTGCCGTGAGAAACACTTGGCGCCGAAAACGTGACGCCCTGTGAGGGCGGCACACGCCCTGACGGGGTTATTGTAGCGGAGGTGCTGTAGCTTAGTGGGGCGGCCTGCTGCTGTAATTGGTTGATCCCAAGAATGGCAGTTGCTGTACTGAACGGTGGCTGGGCGGGAGAGTTAATGATGGAGTTTCCAGACATCGGCGTGGAGTTCATCCCTGTGACTGATTGCTTCCGATCCACCATCATCACCATCTCTCGGTCCTGCCGGATGATCTGCTTCAGCAGCTCGTTCTCCTGAGTGTTGAAGACGCCAGCGTACATTGATTTATTTTTATTTTATTTACATTTTTAAATACCTATTTATTTGCCCGTTTGAAAAGTTATTTACATTTTTATTTATACAGATTATGCTTTAATTATTTTTTTTTTTAATTGGAACTGCTAGTCTTCCATAGTCTACATATAGGTAGAATCATTGATCAGTGCAATTAATAGTCATCTGTTTGTGGGTTACTGTGAAATAAATGCCATATTCTATGAACTGGAACCTGAAATAAAGAAAATCAACTGATTGATTAGCTAATGTTTGTAAAGAATTCTAGAAGGTTATTGGGGTTTTCAAATATGAATTTAACTTCACTCCAGTATGCCAACTGAATTTAGATCTGTTTCTTTTACTCAAGTCACAGTTTTGCTGCTGTCTTTACTGCCCTTTTGCACACAATAGCTGAGCATAGCTCTATTGTTACGTAAGATGACTGAGTTGGGCTCTTATGAGCTGAAGGCATAAAGTAATAGGCAAGGTGAAAGCACAGTTTCATGACCCTGCTCTGTGGGACATATAAAGTTTTACAATCAAGCTGTCTGCAGTGTTGAGCGCAGAGCTGTTATATATTTAATCATTAAGGAAGGACTATTACACTATTTTGTGATTAGAGAAAAAAGTAAATTTTAGTATGAATTTAAGACATGTTTAGACAGATCAATTTATTATTGTGGGACTAGTTTATGGGGGTGAATGCTAATAGAATGCAATGCGTCAAAACAGGTGGTGATAATCATTGAATCATTGTTGCATCATGAATAATATTCGTTAAACTTTGCAAAAGTTCCATGAACAATGCCATAGCATTTTTTTGGGGGAGGCGGGGGGACATACGTAAATTGTCACGGCTACCTGTCAGGCATCACTGAAATAGTAGTTAATTTCAGAAATCACACTTGTCTTTGTGACAATGTAGGTATTTTATAAAAGTTTTCAATACAGACCTACTGAATTTGAATATTTTACAATAAAATATTTAGAATTAATTGTATTGTTTCTATACATATAATCAACAACTTTGATGTTGAATTATTGTTTTTATTTTTTTAAGTACTTAATTTGCAATGCTTCAGTCATGGGATTGTAGTTGAATTTTTCAATACTTTTTTTTGTTTGCTTTAGATCAAAGTTTGTAATATTTTCTATAAATAAGAAAAAACATTTTTTTTAATTTTTTATTTATTTATTTATTTATTTTTTTTTATAATGTCCCGAGTCTTGTTCAAATCCATTATAGAACAATGAATGGGAAAAATACTTGACAAACCAAGATGGCTTAAAAGTAGATGGGCACAGTAGATTTACTGTGATATGAAAATAATAATTTTCTTGTATAAACATACACTACAAACGTATGTGGACATAAGCCATCATTGCCAGATGGATGATGGTTTAAATTAAACCAAGAACAATATGATCTGCTATTAAGAACATAATGTGGTAGCGAAGGACAGTAACTGTCAGGAAGAAGGAATTTTAACCTAATAACTTACTGTAATAAGTGCATTTTATTTAAGACCGTTCCCACGGGGGGAAGCAATCAATAACCAATAACGCAGAGTTTCAGCACTATGTCATTTGTTATTAGCTGAGGCAGAAAATGAGAGATATCATGTCACTGGAAAAAGAAAGGGGCTCTTGAGGATGAACAAGTCTGGTCTCGACAGGAATGGTTATTCAGGGGACAGGGATAACGTGTACATAATCGCGGTAAGGACAAAGGCCTCCCTGGAGATGTCTCTGAGGTTTTACAGGCCTGTCCTGTCCTTGCATATCCAAATATACACCATTTCCTTGTTCGCGGTGCGTATCGTTTAGTCTGGTAGCGGTAAACATGGCTGGGTAAGTTTTGTAGAGAGGCAGTCAGACCTGAGATGCATTTTGACATGGGTAAAAATAGTGACTGATTGCCCCTGATGTTTGCAACCCACACTGAGAGAAATGGCCTTTGTACATTTGTTCTCGGAAGGCAAAGGCCATGATGTGTAATCTACTGGCAGCCACAGTGAAATGAATCCAGATGAACATTGAAGAGACTACAGTCTACTTGTAAATTAGCACGCACTGTATGTCTATAGACTTACGTGATGTCTGAAAAGAGGTTTGGAGGTATCGTGAATTCTGTGAATGAGGAGTTGATCAGAAACATGTTATTCACAGGACTCTAAAGCGCCAGTGGAGAAGGGGATCTAGACAAGGTCCTTCCAGATCAATCAGTCATTAAATGGAAAGAATGCAATCTCAAACCAAAGTGATCTAATTAGTAGTCTAATCAGCATCTAAGACATAAGCATTTTAAGTATAAAATATATTTGATGTATTAGAGACCTACAAATGTTTATGAATCCTTTTAAGCTGATAGAATATTGAAATATGTTGATTTTATAGTATTTAATTAATGGCATTAATTATATATGTTCAGTTTAATGTGTTGTATGTAAAATATAGTGTGAAATATGATAGATAGATAGATAGATAGATAGATAGATAGATAGATAGATAGACAGACAGATAGATGATAGACAGACATAGCTCTATTGTTACGTAAGATGACTGAGTTGGGCTCTTATGAGCTGAAGGCATAAAGTAATAGGCTATCAATCTCTCAGCCATAGCTGTATGACAGAATCAGGTAGGAGAAATCCTGAGGTTTTAAAATTCAAGGTGAAAGCACAGTTTCATGACCCTGCTCTGTGGGACCATAAAAATTATTTATATTACTCAATATAAATGTGAGCGTTATTACTCGGTGTTGGGTAAGTTACTTTTAAACAAAGTAATTAATTACTAATTACATCATCAATATTGTATTTAAATTACTTTTCTAATTACTCTGTCTGAAAAGTAATTTAATTACTCAAGTAACTTAATTACTCGAATCGTTAATTACTTTTTAAAATCCCTATAAACCTTGATTCATAGACAATAGAGATGAAACGTAATTATTTCCGTTTAAGTTAAACATGGAATAGTTTAGCCTTTTAGCTTTAAAACAACTGTAATACTTATTTTAATAAAAAATGTAACCTTCTTTGGTTAACAAATATAATTACTCTGCAAAATATCTGAATAACAAAAAAAGCTTAAGAGAAGTTAAACATTACGCCCTGGTTTCCCAGACTGGGCTTAGATTAAGCCAGGATTAGGCCATAGTTCAATTACGTCATTTAAGTAACTTTTATAAACGTGCCTTAGCAGAAAACATTTCTGGTGTGCATCTTGAAACAATGGCACTGACATATTTTAAGGCAAGTTTCTTTCAGTTAAAACAGCTCAGACATGCACTTTAGTCTGGGACTAGGCTTAAGCCTTGTCTTTGAAACCAGGTGTACATGTATCAAGCTGTAAGCATTAAACTTTTCAAAGCAATAAGTACCATATTTCATACACACTGACATACTATGTACACATTAGCAGTCACTAATACTAATTTTGCCCACTCCTAACAAAAAACAACAACATGATTAGCACAAGCACATATGCTTTGTCTGATATATTATAAACTAAATTCTTATTGCTTAGCACATTATAAACATCGACATCTGATAGTAGATCAGTAAACGCTGATCTAAACATTCCTAGACTGTAACATTCATCATGCTGCAGTGTGCAGTGTCATAGCAGGTCTCCTTCCAAAAACTATGAAAAGTAGGCCTAGATGAATCTTGATTTTTTTTCTTCTATTTTTTATTTCTAGGTGATGAGGGTGTTTGCGCACAGGTATGACTGCAGATAACGAGCTCTGAGACGGAAAAGACTGTACCTCGCGTTGGTTTCATACGGATTACATAATCAGAGAATATTCACTTTCAATTTGATTTGGTTAATTTAAAAGACACCAAGTTATCTATGGACGTATTTCTCATGTCTGTGTGTCAAATATTCATCAAAGAGTTTCAGTTCATTTTTGTGACGTGTTTCAGAAAGAAGCGCCCAACACTGCGTATACTTATATTTTCAAGTATATGTCTCAGTTGTTCCTCTTAAAATTCCTTAGAAGTAAAAAAAAATAAAATCTAATTAGACAATGGTTGACATAAAGCAATAATAGTAAGCAAAAGTCTTGGAAGAATTTGATGAGAAATTTTAGTTAATGTAATAATTTGATGGCAGACTTGGCAAAACTCTCAATTCTTTTTCTCCATCTCACTGTTTAGAAGAAATAATTGAGTAGTTTTTCTTTCCTGTTGGGAGTTTTGACAAAAATATCATTTGAGAGTGCCACAACATTTGATTGTGAGCAAGAAGACTTATAAAAAAGACATTCTGAACATTGCTTTAGCATTGATTTCACAGTAACCCTTTTAACCCTTTTGTCTCTTTCAGAACAAAACCTATTACATGGGGCTTGTACGGAGAAACACACATCTCCACTGAATGTTCTTAGACATTCAGCAGAACGGAACATTCTGTTTCACCTCTAAGCTTGACGGCCTCCGCTGAGACACATTAGCCCTCTGCTGCATTCTTCTGGGGCTGAATGGGGATATTGGGCTTCATGTGTCACTAAAGAAGACTAATAACCTGAAGACTGCCTCCCATTTTCTAATTAATGAGTGGAACACAGTGAGCCGTGAATGTGGCACACCATTGAGCTCAAACACCTCACCAGGTGGCTGCCATGATGTTTGGACCATGGCTATAAATAGGTAGAGAGAAAGCTGCCTACTGTATATTTTAGCTTCTGTTGCTAACAGATAAAACTATGTAAACTAGTTGAGTTTAGTTTGAGAATCTGAGTTTAGGGATGTGAAGTGTAAATGGAGGTTCCCACAGTCAACCTGGAAATATCTGTGAATTTTAAAATTGTAATTTCCAGACCAGCTTTAAAATGTTTAATTGACTCTTTCTGAGTCCAAAATAGTAATGCAAATCCTTATCCAGTAATTGACTGAAATTCATTGTCTAAAGGTGTGGGAAATCTGTGTTGAAATTACCTACAATTATTGACAACGCTACTAATTTTACTACATTTATCAGTAGCGTAACAATAGTTCATCTGTTTTTCACAATAGTGTAGCTTTGGCATTAACAAGGTATTTTTAAGACTTTTTACTACTTTTAACTACTTTTTTATACAAGTTAACAAGCTACTTTTTTCTATTGTGAAACTTTTTATTTAATTTAGTTTTTAAAAGTTTAAAAAGTCACTTTTTTGTGGTCTGCTCTTTTAAACTGTCCTTTCTTTCTTTTTCATATTGTAAGTAGTGTATTAAAATATTAAAAGTCCAAATAATTTTTAGTAAATCGGTTAAACTAAAAATAAAAATAAAAATCGAGTAGCATTTTAGGTTACCTTATTATAAAGAAAAGTCCATTTAATATGTTATTCACTTTTTTTTCCTTTTTTTTTTTTTTGTTGTTATATTAGCGTTTCTATTTTTTTTCTAGTTTAGTTGTAATCTGTTTAATAGTCACCTGTTTTCTGTGCCTGAAAAATCTGTCTTAGTCTTTCTCTGATTATGTAGTCTCTTATTCTCTTTCGAAATTGCTAATATAATCTTATATTTTTAATGTATGTATTAATATATTACCCCTTTAAGTATCTTTATGTATAACTAAACATTTAAAGTAGCTTGATTGTAAATGAACTACTTTAAATAGGCTTAGTAAGCTCATTTTAAAGTATCTTTCCCACCACAGACAAATAATAATTAAATGAAATGACACATTTTTGTTTAGCAACATCATCATAACAAGCAGCAGCAGCATTGTTATCTTTATGGTTATTTTCTTGCAGTAAAAACCTTAAGTGAAGCACATCTTTTGGAATTTCTAAAACCAATCAAATAGTATGCATGCATTGATTACTTTAAAGACAGATATACGATAAATGCCCAAACGTGACATAAAATTTACTTGCCTTGACTTTAACAATAGCATGCAACCTTGTTTTTACTTACAGTGGCCTTTTATTTGTTTGATTTAACCTTCGTTTTGAGGTCCACTGGGTGCACTGAACGCATGCTGGCTGCCTTAAGCCTGTGGATCATTTCAGATGTGAGGGGGGGAAAATCTGGATCGTCATGAGGAATTTACCTGCTGCCTACTGGTCGGCCAGGACACTCTTGAAAACGAGATGAGCTCATCTCAAGAGGGGCTCCTGGTCAAATAATTTTTAAATAAAGATAGATACATCAATTGTACAACATGTCATTCTGGTTAATGCATGGTTAACTTTTGTTTTCTTTTTTTGTCAAATTCTTTTGCTTAGGACGAGACAAGCATTTGCAGTCCAAAAAACAGTACATGGAGCACCAATCATGTCACGGTCCGTATTTTTCCCTTGTATGAGACAAGACCCCTTGTTTTAGTTGGACTAATGTCAAATCAAAAGTGTTTTGTAAGTGCTGGCAACTTGCAGTGGCAATCTACAAGCCCGTTCTCCACATGAAAGGACAAATGCACGTCTTGGCTTTGTTTACACCGGTCGTCTCGCGTTGTGACTGACATTTAAAGGGTGAAAACGTCAATGCCACAAACAGAGATGGGTGCAGATAGAATCCTAGTTTTGAATTCGGACAGCGTAATGCATACTGTCGTCTTAGGGTTTCATTTAATGGAACTGAATTCGATTTGATTGGCCCGATCACATGAATTCTTATCTGTCATTGATTAGTTGTGACGTGCATGTCACAATGGTGTGGGCATATTGATCCAAACCAATCCAATCCAACTTTTAGTGCAAGGCAAGTCAATAGCAACATGCCAGAATTTAGCAAATAAACAGAAAAATAAAAAGAACCAAGGGAAAATGTAAAAAAAAATAAAATAACACTAGAACCTATATCTAAAATTAACTTGTTTTTTTGGATGCAGGCAAGCAGGTGCTAATTTATTTATTTTTGATCCAAATGACTGTATAATGGAACTTAAAAAGGGATATTCTGTGTTGTATTTCTAGCATGCACTCAAGTTGTGAAATTATGCAGGGCTTCATGCTATATTAGTATACGTCATAACCAATTCATATGCTTAAAGGAGAAACATTTACTTTGCGTTTTCAGGTCTTAAATTATCTTCTGGTTTTATCTTATGAACTGTGAAATCAAAAGGTGCAAAGAAAGAAACAAGACACATTTTTATATGGATGTATTATATAATCATATCAACCCCTTTTTAAAAGAAAAACATACTTTGGAGCTACAGTATGCTTGGATGTGACCACTGAATTTAAGTTGCATTTGTGCTTCACTTCAAATCTGGTCTGTCACAAACTAGTTAAATATTCCTATTGAATAAAAGATTCATGCAAATGTTGGGTGAAAGTAACAAGGCTCATGCTCTAGACCTTACTGTAAACCGTAGTGACAGAGAATTCAGTTGAATAGCACAAAAAAGTGGTGACAAGGTCAAAGAACGAACCCATTGAATGGTGCAGAACATAAAACCGATGTTCTACGAATGTTCAGAATGCATTAGCTCACATTCGAATTCCACACAATTCAAATTCATGATGGATGGTGGCCTGTATCTCAACAATGAGACAAAGACTAAAATATGCAGCATTACGGAACCTGATGTGTCTTAAGACAGCTCGAATAAAATCCCTTTTTTATTTTCCATTGTTCCTTTGAACCTGGTTGAAAGAGAAATCCTTCTTTTCAGTATTTCTATGAAGAGTGGTGTGAGTGATAATGAATTTGTGTTTAGTGGGGAAATGTTAAAGTTCATCAAGCCAACTGGTTTTAAAATAAAATAAGACTTTTTTTTCTTATTTTTTTAGCATAGTACAAACATAATGCTAATTTTAGGTCATTGAGTAAAGTAGTAAATGTGTTGTAGTGAAAAATGAAATAGGTGTATAAGGTGTTACTGATTTTCTTACATTTAAATGTGATATTTCAGATATTAATGTTGTAATTTAATGAATGTTGAGGTGATTCATGCAAATTTTGCACAAATAAACTACAAAAAATAACACATTTGGAAAAAAAGATATTAAGTGCTGCTTTGGAACAATATGTTTTTTTTAACAGAATTGATAAAATAATGCAAATAAATTCTAAACACTTTAGAATAAGGCTCAATTCATTAACATTAGTTAATACATTGGGTATCATGAACTTTTTTTTGGCAATATCAATTAATTAATGTTAATTCATAAACATTAACATGTTGGTTCAAATTACATTCAAACACTGTAAAAATATGTTTTTGAAGTACAATAAATAAAACATTGGTTACTGGGGTATGTTTTGACATTTTTTTTTTCAAAATTTCTTGTTTAATTCAGTGTGTGTTTCTTTGGAATTAATTGTGAAATTTACAAACAGTATCCGAGTGGATCTGGTTTCTACACTCTAAATGTTAAAAATGTAGAAATTATCATTAACAAAGATTAATAAATGCTGTAAAAGTACTGCCCAATCTATTAACTAATGTTAAAAATGGATCCTTATTATAAAATTATACATGTGTTACCATAAATTTAATTGAATTTTTTTTTTTAATGATTTCTTTGTTTTCAGAAAAAAATAAGTAAATAAATATAATAAATTAAGCATTTTAAACGAGCAGGGACTATACTAACATGTGAAGAACTGGTTCTAATTGATAGGTAATTATTTCAGCCCTTGCCCTTTAGTGCACCAGCTCAAACCCCCTCTAAGGGGCGCACTGCTGCTGCTAGGGGTCAAGGGAGGGCGGGGTGGTGCTCATACCCAGGTGTGCGAGGTGGGGGAGTGGAACGGAGGCTCATGCGGGTGAGGGTTTGCCTCCGTCCACCCTCCATGCATCCATTTGGGGATGACATTTAACCAAAACCAGCAGGGTGACCGGCTCGGACAGGACGGCTACATGCACTGCCGCTTACCGACAGACCAATTACTTAAGGCTAGCATTTACAGTTTGTTGTAACGATTTTTAATGGCTATAATCCATACGAGACATTTGGAGAAAGAAAAAAAGAGAGAAAATAAAGTAGCATATAGACACGTCATGCAACACAATGGTAGATGATTGCGGTGCGATGGAGGACAGGACAAACGCGCAATAAACACACACAAGGTTCAGGCATTAGACAAGAAGAGAAGGCGAGGGTTGGGATTCTGGTCTTACCAATGCGGTCCAAGCGGTCGATAGCCACAGTTTCGAAAGCGCGGCGCATCATGGGATATTCCTCCAAGACTTCGTTGAAATGGTCCACGGACAGCGAGAACAGTCGGCAGTAGGTGTCAGAACGGACGCTAGCTGTACGACGACCTTTCGTCAACAGGCAGATCTCTGCGGGAAACAGATGAATTGAACATATCACACGTTTTATATAAGGTCACTCGTTAAACAAGAAGGCCGGCAGAGCATCTTCAAGGCTAGCTGGATTAGCAGAAGAGCTAGCCTTGAGTAGAAGAAAAGATTAGCATGTAAACATAGCACAAGGGAGTGAATTCACGTGACATATCTGATTTAACGTGGCTGGTGGTGCTTTTTATACACGTTAGACATTATGTGAATAAAAAAAAAGAAAAAAAAAGAAGAGCGTTCTTATTTAATGGTTTTGCAACACTTTTCATTTGTAGGTCTTGTGGTGAATGACTTTAGCATTTACCCGCGTGTTGATGCTCTGATGATAAGGAATTAAGACGGTTTCTTTTTGATTGAGGTTATTGCTGACAGTTTAACAACATCTATATCATGGCTTTCCAAAAGTATAGTTTTTAATAATAATAATAATAATTTATATTTATAAATGTATTTATTATTAAATTTGTTGTTCTTATAAAAACAAAGAAAATATGTTTGTTTTTTTGTTATTTATATTATTAAACAGAATCAATAACAACAACAGTTTATTATTATTATTTCAGCTGTTTTTCTTTTTGTTTGTATTATAGTATTTATAATAATAATGCTAATAAAACAAAGACAATTAAATATGTAACAAATTTTTTTTAAATATGTAAATATTTTGAAAAGTGTTTTATTTTATTTATTTTTACCTAAAACTGCACCCCATCAGCGGTTGGGAAGTAAGTGTTTAATTGAATACAGTACATACTTAAGTGTCTCA